CGGTCACTGTGTCCATCCCACCATGGGAATGTGAACAGTCACTAGGCTACCCTCCTCATCTGTATCAACTGTGCCTGAGACCTGACATGGTACTTCCCATGACAGCTTCCTAGGCAGGATGCCACAATGGGGAGCTTGTTGTTGTGACCACACACTCAAGGCTGAGTCCTTAGTCAGACTGGACCCAAGCCATTGCCAAGATTCCTAGCCTCCTGGGCCTTTGTTTCCTGACCTACAGACAGTCAGACAGACAGACTTCAGTGCTGGATGACCTGAGGTCAGGCAGCTAGTTTCCTGGGTTTGATTTCTCCATCTGTGAGGTGGAGAGAAAGACTCTGGAGAAGACCAGGGAAGGTAAATAGGACACCATGGATGGATCAGAGAAGGCTTTCTCCCACCCTTTCCCGTTCTTTGCAACTTCTGCTCTTTAATCACCATGATAAGTACTAAGGGCTGTTGTGCTACTGAAGGTTAAGAAAGAACTAGTGATTTTGGCCATAAGTTCCATGCAGGGTTTATTCTTGTTGCCCATGTATCTTCTATGTGTGTATTGACAGTCCAGCACAGCCAGCCAGATGGCCATCTTTCCTTCCTTTCATTTATGTACTTCCTCTTCTATCCACCCTTCTATACATCCAACCTACAGAACTCTCACCCTAACCTACAGAATTATCCACTTGCTTTAGATAGCTCTGTACTATCACGCACAGTCTCTTTCCTCAAACACCTTCTAGACCTGGGATGGATAGAGGGCCTTGTGTATTGGGGTTCAATTCAAGCAGAATTGAAGGAAGATGGGTGTGCCTGAAAAACTCTCTTCCTGTCTTCCTCACCTCAGGCAGCCAGCCCTCCCTCTGAGATGTATAAATTTGTGTGGGAAAAAATGGTTTCTAGGTTTAAGACTCGAGACCCTGATTATTCCTCTCTAATGTTGCCCCCTGAACAGCATAAAAATCACTGATCCCCAGCTGCTGGAACTTGGCCTTGTGCAGAGCCCTGATGGCCATCGTCTCTATGTCACCATCCCTCTGGGCTTGAAACTCAAAGTGAAAATGTGAGTGAGTCCGAAGAGGGTGGTGAAGGGACGGCTCACAAAGAGGGCTTGACGGAGGTGGGAAGCTACAAACGCCTGGGTCTCGAATGTTAGCATGGTTGCTAATACACTAAGCAAACTTAGCTGTGTAGGAAATCGCTTGACCTCTCTGAACCTTGCTCTCTCCTTCTTGGGAGATGAGAACAACTGTGAAAAGTACAGGGTAAGGTAAAGCTGACAATCCTAACAGTAAGAACCCCCACCTTGAAATGCAGGGGAGGGACAGATGCCAGTAGGGATGTCTCCTCCTTTTCTGGCAGGCCGGTAGTTGGAAGTCTTTTGGAATTGGCTGTGAAGCTGAACATCACTGCAGAAGTCTTAGCTGTGAAAGACAATCAGGGGAGGATTCATCTGGTTCTCGGTGACTGCACCCACTCCCCTGGCAGCCTGAAAATCACCTTACTCAATGGGTGAGGCCAAAGGGCTCACTTCTCCCACCCTGAGACAGCAGTGTGGGATGATGGGACAATGGGCGGATAGATGAGTAAGAGGATAGCAAGGGAGATGTGTATGTGTGGAGGAGGATGGGTGGTAGATTGGTGCCTGTGTGCTTGGTGAGTGATGGAAAGACATACAGACATGGACAGATGGATAAGCAATGGAGATACATAAATACTCACTTATACCTTATTAGACAGAATGGCCGACTTTTTAATGCTATGAAAAAGAAACTATACACATTGTGGCTTTTAATGGCATTAATACTTTTTGTCCATATTATCAACTTCATGGACCTCCACAGATATTCTATCTAAAATTATCTTATCTAATTACTACCAAGAGACTAAGTATATTACTATGAATTGCTCAAAGACTATGCTAGATGGTGTCACAGAACATTATCCTGTTTATTATGCACTCATATTTATTATAGGATGGCTAATTTTATAGTGGATTAGGCAATAAATAGTTTGTATTTAAGCCCCACCTACTACAGGGTGTGTAAACTTCACTTGTATTTCTCCAATTTTGTCTCCTCTTGTTTATTTGTAATATGAAACTACATTGAGGATACTAACAGAATTCTAAAGGGTAAATAGCTGTAGCACGCATTTCGTTTGCTTGTTCCAGTTGCTTGTCACAAGGGAAGGCCCAGTCATACAGAATGTACAGGACCTGTCCACACGTGGCTTAGATTTACTAAGCACATACATAGGGTTTGTGGGTATCATTCCATTGAGCCTCCATGACAACCACATACTAAGCATTAGCATTCATGGATTCCATACAGTCTTGTTGTACATCGACTACGTCTCTGAAAGCGTTTGCTTGTTCTACACTCGTCTGTGTGTGCACAGCTGGGTTGCATGTAACCTTCTTCAACTAGGCTCTTTGCTTTCACCTGCCATGGACATGAATGGGGAAGGCCTGATCTCGGTTTGGGGGTGTTAAGACTGAGTGTGCATAGTGGCTGCTGAACTTCCCAAGCTTCTGAGCCATATCCATGACCTTTCTCTTCCAGAGTCACTCCTGTTCAAAGCTTTTTAGACAACCTCACAGGAATACTGACTAAAGTCCTTCCTGAGCTGATCCAGGGCAAGGTAATGGATCAGAAGTGTCAACCCCCTTCTCTGGCTAAAAGAGAGCCCTGGTGTAAACGAAACCCAGCTACCCTGTATAAGCAATGAAGCCATCCATTAGTCCATCTCTCCTGTGATCCAGCTGTCTATGTTACTTATTTCTACACATCCAAACACACTAGTTGGTTTCTTCTGGGCTGTAGAAAGTGTCCACAAACATTCCACCTTGGGTGTGCTGTCTCTTTAAAAGTCTCTTTGTAGGAGGTTCTGAACCTAACTCTTCTTCTGACCTGGCTCAGGTATGTCCTCTGGTCAACGGGATTCTCAGTGGTTTGGATGTTACCCTGGTGCATAACATTGGTGGTAAGTCCTCTCCCCCTCTGAAGAAGGATTGGTTTCCCCCAAGGAGTTTTGTCCCTGCATATCATGGGACAGCTGGGCCTTCCTGGCCTCATCCCTCCTTCTTTGGCTGTATCATTGTTTCCATAGATTATCAATATGAGTCTGAAATAAAGCCTACCTCCCCCTCTCAGCCTGACCTGAGAACAGCTGAGCTGACTGGAGGAGGTGTATCCTTCCCCCCACATTCCTAGGTGTGGTAAACCTGCCTGGTGACCAGAGCTCTTGCTGGACTCCTTCACCACCAAGTCGTGGCTCTAATCTCGTTTTTATGCTTGTGTTGTTGTTGTTATTTCCAGACTTACTGTTCCATGGACTACAGTTTGTCTTCAAAATTTAGGCTCCCCAGGAAGGATGGCCTACCTTGGTTGAGCTGGTGAGTACTGTTTCACATTCCTCGGTATTTGAGGATTGGCCATTATCCTTCTAGAAGAAAGCAAGGATCGAGGGACAATGTCATCAGTATTAGTCAGCCATCTATCATTCTAATGAAAGGTCTAAGATAATCGGCGTGTAAAGATAAGATGGTTTATTTTGGCTCACAGTTTTATAGACCCATCTACCAATCGCTCCATTGCTTTGGGAACGTAGTAAGGCAGGGGTTATAGTGGAAGAAGTCGATCATTCTGTAGCCGAGAAGCAAAATGAGAGTCAGCAAGACACAGAATTCCAGAGTTCACTCTGAGGACATGCCCCAGTCACCTAAAGACCTCCCCTCCATAGTACCTCATTCCCATAGGATCCACTGTCTCTCAGCATTGCCACCATGGGGACCACGCCATTAACATCTGCGCCCTTAGGGGAACATCTAAGATTCAAGTTATAGAAATATCTAAAGAGAGACAAGCTTCCACTTGAATACACACAGAAATACATACACACAAAGGTCCACAGAAAGGCTAACAGAGGAAGAGAGACACAGGTGCCATATTAACACTACAAAGAGAAATAGACATCATCATGGAGATATATATATATATGGATTATATATATATATCATCATATCATCATCATGGAATCACACACACACATCATCATAGATACACATGCACACACACACACACGCACACATACACACACACCAGCCAGATACATATGTGATACAGATCCATGCAGTCTCACACAACTATGCTTATTCACATGTGCAAACATATACATATTCACTACAGTCACGTCTACATAGTGCAAGCACATGCACAGGTAGGCTCCTTATGGCTGAGATCCTATCCTTGGGTCTCTGCATGCCTCCTTCCCTCATAGGGCCAGTTTGATGATGGGATAATACCAGTTAAGAGTCACTGGTCTCAAGTCTCCCCAACCGATCAAATTCTTCTCCCAACAGAATCATTTCTTGCTGCTCAATCTCCTGCCTCTTGCCCAGTTTCCCACGGCTCACAGAAAGGGGCCCATGTCCTGGAAAATGATATGTCTTCCTTCTCACAGAGCCTGAGCTCTTTTCCCATCAGTCATGATGAATCCTGTGAGCCTCACTAAATAAAATAGCTCTTCATCTGCACTAATGCCTTGTGTTCTTCACCATTATTTGGGGCTTTAGAGGTTAAAAAGAGCCTGAGGTCATACCCTAGATTCTAGGGCTTAGAGCCTCATATACCAGGTCTTGAACAGCTGAGGGCTTGGGTACAGCTGAATGTGGATTAGGGGGGTTACCCTGTTGTTCTTACGTGGTGTGAATAAGCACTCAGGCGTTGATGTGCACACACAGGTTGCCACAAAAGACATGAAGCAGATGACAGGATATATGTTCCAGAACTGGGCCTGAGAGGAGGGGTGTGAGGATATGAATGTCTCTGGTCCACATCTCAAGCGGGGTAGGGGGAAGGAACCAGGAATGTGGAAAGGTGAACTGGACAGAGCTTGAAGAGCAGACCTGGATGGTGGCCACTCTGTGTGGAGATGCTTTGAAGACCCTGAAGTGACACTTGATGCTGTCACACCAGCCTCTTCTCTGTTCTCCCAGCAACAGGAGGATGAAAAATCACAAAGAAAGAAAGCAGGAGGGAAGGCACTGGGGTCCAAGTGTTAACTGCTTATGGAAAGCAATAAGGAGGCTAGTTGAAATTGTCATGAGTTGCTTTGTTTTGTTTTGTGTTTTAGAGGGAAAACTTGATTTTGAGAAAGAAAGAAGAGGAGGGGAGAGCTGAGATTGTATAGAATACTGAAAACCTGAATTCACTAAAAGGGTCTCCGGGAGACCAGAAAACCAAAGTCTTGGTAGAAAAAAAAACAGACAAGACAAAAACAAACAAACAGAACAGTCCAGTGGACTCCAGAGCAGGGAAAAGGGTAGAGCAACTCCAAGCCTCTTCCCCAGAGCAATGGCAACATGTGGCCGCTCACTGGGTCCTTGCACAACCTGCTTTAAACTTACCTTCATCTGACCTGGCTCAGGGTTCACAGACTAGGAATGTACAACTTCTTATATGTCTGCTGAAAACCAATCAGGAGTGATTGCTCAGCACCAGCTTCCTGGAGTGCTTAGCGTCAGCTGCCTGGGGTGCTCAGTTACAGCTGCCTGAGGTGTTGTGCTTAGTGACAGCTGCCTAGAGTGGTAGTAACATTTAAGACAATGCACCAGTGATAAACTTCCAAAGGACAATCTGGGCAATAGAATGTGTAGGTTTCAAATATGTTCAGAAGGCCACACTTGCATATGGTAGGGTTTTAGGGGTTCAGAACAGCCTGAGGAGGACCTATGCTCTCGCCTCTGGCTAACCTGAAAGTTCTGTGAGAGCAAGAGGTGTGGATGAAGGTAAGGTGCATTAGATTAGACAATGGGCAGCCATTGCTCTGGGTTCTGTTCTTGTACTAGGCCCCAGCAAGTCAATCTGAACTAGAACTGACTCACTCATGAAGAGCATATTCACTAAGGCTGGAGACCACCTGGGTCCACTGGTTCCCACTGGCCTTTAGTTTTGCAAAAGTATCAGTACATCAGGAGACATTTTTGAATCCTGGACCACATCTGGTTGTTTGGACCCTCCTGGAGAGCTGGCTATTTGACCATGGAGTGTACTAGACCCTAGCAGTCCTGGCTGGGCCAGTCTTGTATGTGCCAATTCACTTTTGGAGATGGAGTTCAGTTGAGCCTGTCCACTTATATTGGTGGGGCTCCATCCAAGTGAAGGCAGTTCAGGTCACAGCATTACTATAAGATATACGGTCTTCTTCAGTACCCAGTAGCAAGCAAAGAGCTGCCATTTGAAGATGTGTGTATGAAAGTCATTTCAGGCAACCTATGTGTCCGAGAGCCTAGAAACTGTGTACCCCAGGGACAGTTCCCTATTGCCACAAGCACCAATCAGCATAGGCAAAGAATATGGGCACCTACAGTGTCACTGGATCAGCAGCCCCAGAAGTCTTAAAGGCAATGTGTGGGCCTTGTTGAATGTCTTCCAAGGCCTGCTTCCGTAAAAGGCCCCATTCAAAATGGGTATTTTTGCAAGTCACCTGATTAGGGGGGAAAAAAAGGCACCTAGGTAGAGGACATGCAGTCCTTAGTTGTTAAAACTCCATCGGCCTTGGTTGCAAGTGCCATTTCCTACTGAGCCATCTCTTCAGCCCAAGTCCATATTAGTGAATGTCAACAAGGGCAAAAACATTTGTTCAACTATTTGGGGGATATGCCTTTGGCTACTTGTCCGTGTGGTCCCCTAGGAAATGTGCTTACTATTCAAGAATCTGGAATTCATCTGAATTTTAGTTTAGATAATGAATAAAGTTAGTGCTGATTCTGGTTTTTCAGGGTTCCCCATTCTCAGGATGCTGTCAATATACTGGGTGACTAGACCTTTCCTGGTCCTGGGCTTGTTGAAGGTCTGCTGGTGCCATGCTGCAGAGGTGTGAGGTTTCATTCAGAAGCATATTACAGGCAGTAACAGGTAGGCATACATCCCTGTCTCTTAAGGAGATGGAGAAAATGCCACTAACCAAGCCAATAGCAGCATATTAGCCTCTAGTGTGGGTAACAGTGATGGTGTCTGCCATCTCAGAGCCAAAGGCATCTATCTGGTTTGTTATAGCCCATCGGAGCCTCCATGCCCTGGAAACCTTGTGAACTAAAGCAGCCTTTCCATAGTGACAAGGTTGTTTGTGACATTCCTGCCTCAGTAAGTACTGGGTAATCAAAGGAAGTATCTCATTTCCCTCCAGCATACTTTATGCTGACTAACCACTAGGGCTCGGCTGGCAGGCCTCCCTGTATGGCTCAAATCCCTTAACTCTGAGCGGCACATTCCCTCGGGGGCTGATGGTGTTCTGCTCCACAAACAGTCTGGGCTATGATGCAGTCTGCAACAGGAACTGTAGTCACCAGTGCTCAAAACCACCCAAAGGCCCCACCCTTAAGCACATAAGCACTACAGGCAGAAAAACACCCTGGGTCAGCAAAATATTCCCAAACTATCTGATGTCACCAATTTCCATTGTCTCCTAAGGAGACTGGAAAATCTTGTCATGGAAGCAACAATATGCAAAAGGCTCAGGAAAGACTATATCCTTCTCCAGTCTCTTTGTATCTTAGCAGGGTAACAAGGCCACTTATCACTTGATCCTGTCCCTGAGAGCACCATTCAATCTGAGACATGTTTATCGACGGTGGTCCTTACCAAAGAAGCACCAATCAGGCTGTGGTGTGAGGATTCTCTGGCCTTTTGTCCATATCTGCTCTTTCACTGTCAAATCTTTTCCTCAGAAAATAATCTGTTTTTAAGTCTCATTCTCATTAAGACTGTAAGTTGTTCAACAATGCTTGAAAACGGATCTCACTAGGGGTTCTTGAGCAACTCAGACCAGGGTTGCTCCAGGCATTATCTGGGATGTGATGAGAGTCTGTGCTCACCACATTACCCCTGTAAAGCCAAAGGATTGCCAGCATTTCAGCCAGCCCATCATCCCTTCCCCCACCGCTGACCCTACCTTGGAGCAGTGACCTACCATTTGACAGTGCCATGGCTTGTTTCATTGGTAACCCTGCTAACTGTGCCAGACTGCTGAGCAGAACAAAACATCTGGTCACTAACCACAAGAGCAGAATTTAAACACTTCTACCCAAAGACATCTTCAAGGAAAACACAGGAGGGTCAGATACTGGCTGGGACAATGCTGGGTTAGTTTCTAGGCACTGGCAAACATCTGGACAAATCAGTAAATGAGATTTATTTAGGCTCACAATTTCAGAGACTCACAGATTCAGAGGTTTCGGTGCATCATGGTGGGAATGGCACGGCTGTGTAGAACAGCCCAACACCTAGTGACCAGGATGCAGAGGAAGTATGCCTATGCTAACAGATTTCCCTCTGTCATCCAGTGATGCCTCCCAGC